TTTTACGCACCTTCCAGTACATAGTAATTGCTAGGATGAGTGAATATGTACTCATGTGTGCTTTTGACAGTCAAGAAACATATCAAAGGTTTATAGATTTTTTTTCATATGCCAAGTGGAGTTTAACTTCTTAGCCATGCTCCTTTAGATGTACAATTTTTAAAAGGAAATATGTGTTTGAACAATGTCCATGAAATGTTCATTAGCCTGAACTCAAAACAAAAATGCTCAACTAAATCCTAAAGGTGAGACCTTCAGATTCTGCATTTTATTCTTAGGGTGAATAACGGCCTAATGTGATAGCAGTCCCTGCATTAAGCAACTCTGGAGTTACCCGGATGGCCAGCTCAGTCGCCTGTAGCATCTACACCTGCAGCAGTGAATTGTGGGCTTGGGTATCTATTTGGATGTTCTAAGGAGTTATCAGATTTCGATGAAGTGACCAGTCAAAGAAGAGTTATGCAAACGCATGAGTATCTGACTACATATTAATAACTTAGACAGAAATGCATCATAAGGTAAGCCAAATATTCCTTGACTGACCATTAACCCAAGTGTAGTGACTAAATACAAAAGTCCTCGAAGATCATTTTAAAAGTTAATTTGTCCTTTTCCTTAAAAATCAGTGCATTCTTCAGACACCCTTTATTTACTACTGATCCTACAAATGTTTGTTTTTAACCACCCAGTTCCATTTGGGATATTCTTTGTCTATCCTCATGATGAGTTGATCTTCCCCTTTTATTTTTGACATTTGTAAGAAGCAGCAGCTTGAGGTGGAAGCTCACTAACAATCTTTTAACGAAAGCCTTCCAACTTCATAAGAAAGGATCATCTGCATTATACCATGTCTTCATGCTGGATCTAATCCCGTGTTTGTGCAAAGCCTTATTTCTCAGCAACCATTCCATTGGTTAACAATGTTCTGTTTGCCTTGTGACACAGAAAGATTGTGTGTTCACACTGACCCCTCTTACATCCTAACTTCCCAGGTTTGGCATGGGTTTCATGAGGCTCTGTACCAATTTTCCTGCCTTAATGTTCTTTGGTTTACAATTTTCAAAAGCATCCAAAACTTGAAAGCTAGTAAAACAAATCTAAGTTGAAAAAGCAGTTCAAAATGAATGGATGATCCAAGAACACTAGCGCTTCCATCAAATGATTAAACACCTCTACTACAAGATTCAAAGCAGAGACAGCTTTATTACCCCACACAACCTAGCAGCTGTTCTATTGAGAAAAAAAATGAATCAAAAACTAGAAGCTCATCATGTCCAAGTAGGAAAAGTTCAATAAAAGTGTATGTGTACAAAGCACTCATTTTGAGGGACATTTTATTAACTAATCATTCCAGAGAGAATTAATTCTTTGGCACTTTAATATATAACTAGTGCCTACTCCTTGATGTTTTAAAGAAATCCACTTAGTCAGCAGTTCCTGTGAAAGGGTTATCAACTGTTGCCCTTGAAGCATTTTCGTTTTGCTGTATCTTGTTTGTCTCTGACAGGATAATAAATACTGTTGTTCTATAAAAACAAAAAATAAGTGAAGAACAATTTGCCCATAATTTTCCTTATCTATCTACATAAACACAATGATCACATCTTTAAAATTAAAAACAATCATTACTCCAGAATTTGTAGCATCTTTTATTTCTTGCACCCTGTCTCAAAAGTAATTTTGAGTAGAGACACATGCTATTAACTGGTTTTAAAAAAAAATGATCCAGCACTTCCTCTTTCCCTAAAGTCTTATATAATATGATATTCTAATTGCTATTCAGAAGGAGACTAGACCATCAGTGAGATGCCCTAATTCTCACACATAAAATGCAGCAATCTAGCTCTGTGGGTGTTTAAAGTCAATAGATGGTGCTCCACTAAAGAAAGAAATTCATACACAATTCTGCAAGATGGATGTTCACATACTGTTCACATTCTATTTTCATTCTAAGATTTCTGAGAGCATGAACCACTACTTAAGTATCAATTGGTATCTTAACTCTCTTTAACTGTTCCCGAGTGGCCAGGGTATAGACAGACAATTGATACATTTGCATCCCCTTCCCCGGTTGGCAGTAACTGACCAAGAACAGACAGTTTACCAGGCATGCCTATCATACAGCTTGATGCTCCCCACCCTATTTCCCCAGTCTCTCTCTCAGAAATATTCCCAAGGATATGATTAGAGCTGCTCCCTAGTGAGGAAACAAAAACGGCTCCCACAGTTCACAGCAACAGACTGCTGCCAACTCTATATATGAATGACAATTGTTGGAATTGTTGGACAGGTATTGCTTACATTGGTTGGAGATCGTGGATTTGTACTGGATCGATCTCTCTCTGTCTATCTCTATCTATCTATCTACCTACTTACCTACCTATCTATCTATCTATCTATCTATCTATCTATCTATCTATCTATCTA